CAGACCAAAACACTCAAAACCATTAATTAACTAATAAAGCAGGACAGCTATGTCATAATTTCAGTAATTCAAAATGATAAAGATTTTGAGAACATGTCTAAATAAACTAAATTCTAACATTTTGAAAAATTATTCAGAATATTTGATAGACGTATCCAATGGCCAGGTTTTGTTCCATTATAGAACGCTCTAACTTGAAAACTCGATTTAAAATGAATTTTTTGCTTTTTCTTATAAATTATAGTGTCATAGTCATAGATTTTTAAGTTGTGCTATGAAATGATGCTGTATATCCATAAAGTGCTAGGAAATAAAGAATCTGCATTTAAAAATCGAAGTAAAAAATTAGTCATTTCTTTAGGCCATTGATACTACATTGGCATTATGTTGTAAATCAATAATTAAAATCAAATTTCTATCAGTTTCCAAGCTTATTTTAGAGAGAATGGTTTTAACCCTATTTTTATTTTAAATGTAAGGAAGACAGTTTGTTATTAATACCTTTACTACTGTATTTAGAGCTGAGTTTAGTTATATAATGCTTCCAGTAGTAGTCACCTATCATTTTTATTACCCACTTTGTACGTAGGAAATGTTTGAGTGTTTTGGTTGTTTTTTTATTTTCCTATCAGTGTTTTCTGCTCACATTTCCATGTTAATGTTCCTGCTTAAAGCAGGAAGAAGTTTAGGTAGAATGATAGATATAAATAATGTCAAAATGGAACATTAAATAGGAGCAGAACCCATATGTTCACCTTATAGTTGAATTTATCATTTGGTTTAGAGGTAAGGTTAATCAGTATGCCCATATGCCCATTTTCAGAAAATTCAAACAGTAGACTTTTTTTAATTTATAAAGCATTCCTCATTTTTCTCCATTTCTTGAGGCACTGAGAAAATTCGGCCTAGTCCTAAAGCACAAAAATAATTAAAATGTTGTATAGTACACAGTGAAAAAATAAGAAATGTTGCCATTGCTTATAAAACTACAAAGTTATGCATTTTAAGAAACAGAATACTTTTTAATATTCCCCCTGAAATTAGGAAATTAGATTTTATTATGGACAACATTTTAGTGAAAGTACAGCTTCCAATCTTGAATGCTATGATTCTCTTTATTGCTAGTGTTTTATAGGTCATGAATTAAATATCTGTAGAGGAGTTACTGATCATCTTGATTATTTTTACCCTAGAGTTTTATTGTGCATATGAAGTACTTAGTGGTTTTAGTTTATTCCAAAATGTATAAGAAATTGTTACACATTCTAATTTGACAGCCATCTCATTTTGATGCCAAATGAAATTGCCATATCTTTCCTATTATTCATCATACATTTATAGGAAAGAAAAATTAAACCATATCTTTTTATTGATAAGAATGAAGATTTTAAGAAAGAAATTTTATATTTTGTAAATTAATAAAATAAAATAACACAAAACTAGTATAAGTACATATGTGTGGTTATCTCTAAATATCTTTGTGAAATTATCTTAAGTTTAGAATGTAGTTTTTATAACTAAAGATATTTAAAGCTAATGTTGATTTTAAAATGGACTTTTCCTTTATTTAAGAATAATTGATAGATAAACTAACTAAATTTGATAACCAGCTCCAGTGATATATAGAATGTTTATAATTTATTTTGTTTACAAAATATAGTAAATATACTAAACTTATGTTTTCCTGTAGTATCTATGTACATGTATTATATTTCCAAATTTTAAATAAGACTTAAATCTACTTTTTTAAAGACGGAATTGGAAAATATTGAAGTGACACAAGGCATGTCAGCTGAGACAGCAGTAACTTTCCTCAGCCGACTGATGGCCATGGTCGATGTACTTGTGTTTGCCAGCTCTCTAAATTTTAGTGAGATCGAAGCTGAAAAAAATATGTCTTCTGGAGGTTTAATGCGACAGTGCCTAAGACTAGGTAAGTATGTTAAGAATAACAGTGCACATTAAATAATAACCTACAAATTAGTTTTATGAAGCTCTATGGTACATAAAATATTGATGACATAAGTTGATGATTATAATATAGAGATTATCTTGTAACTCATCAGAATAACCAAAACCAAAAACATTGTATCTTCACATTGGAAATTTCAGAGAATTGATAATCTTTAATGATTTATAACTTGAAATAGAGTAAAATATATTTAGAATTCTTTCAAAATCAGTAAGACTATCACTCTTCATTGAAGTGATTTTAATGCAAATCCATTTATGAATTCTGTTTTGGTAGACTAATAATGAGGGTAGGGTCCTAGGCCCACAAACATCAGAGAATGAATGACATAGTCTTATTATACACATAATGCTAGAAGGATAAAATTGCCTAATCTCACTGTTTCCCAGAGTGAACAGATATCCCTAATAAACATTATTGTACCTATGCTGTTCACCTTTTATCTTATGTGGCAAAGAAAATTTAGCACAGAAGATTCTTAGTAAATCTGAATGAGTTCTTTAGACAGGAACCATTCTTACCCCTCTTAAAGGGAAAAGTTATTTATGTTATTTAGATTTTCAAAGCGATCAGAAAGCTGCTCTTTTCATACATGCCTTGGAGCATGAGCAGAACATAAGAATGCAAGGCATGAAGTAGGACTTTCTTGATACATACTCTTTTCACCCATAATTTTTAAAGGTTATGTAAAAAACTACCCACATAGTTGCAGGGGAGAGGTTGTTTCTGATTCAAGGAAGAAACAAAGACTTGGGTTAAGAATGATGGAATGAAACCTACTTTCTTTTTGTTTATACTTTTTAAAAACAAGCAAGTTTAGAGAAATCGTTGCGTATCTGTTATAAGGGAGAGAGTGATCACATTGGGATCTCTGACAACCAAGAGTTTTAATTTCCTGTGGGCCATCAAGGACATTTCCATTGATA